ACGTACTGATTTTTATTTTCGCAAAGAAATTTCTTTCGTTCTCCCCTGGTGTGTGCGGTGCTTTTAATTCTTGCTTTGCCGAAAAATTCTTTTTTGCGGGCGCTTCAGCTGGATAGGCGAGCGCGCCCCCGGCGACTCGCAGCTGCAAGGCGAGCGCGCGCCCCCGGCGAGCGAGCTCACGCAATGTCAAGCCTCACGCACACCCTGCACCTTGGCCTCCTTCTGTACTCTCTCGTCTGGCTCCGCCACTTCTGGATCGTGGCGAAGCGGTGGCGTCTGTGGCAAGATACCCGCCGAGCGCTCTCCGAGACCTTCGCTTGGGAGGCTCAGGCAGTCTTTTTACGGCGGCGCAAGCGAGAGCGGATTGGAATCGCCGTCGAGTTCTGCCAGCTAGTCGCGATGACCATCTCGGAGGACAGTATCGCCCGGTGCGTCAGGATGCTAGCCGTATTTGGGAGTGACGTCGAGCCAGTGGTGGTTGGCCTGTTCCGATCTCTGCAGACGTCGCTGCAGTCGCACGAGTGGTTTCTAGGTTGGTGGTGCGCTCTGGTCGCAGTCTACATCGCCGCGGGCTGCCTCGCCGCACTCCGTGCCTTGAAGATTCGGCTGCCGCGCCTCCTCCGAAGGCACACCTCTGAGCACTCTGGCACGATCCTGCTGGAGTGGGGTCTTATCCCGGTCCTCGAGGCGTGCTTTCAAATGCTAGCGTGCGACAGCCAAAGGCTACAGGACGACGAAGAGATCGTGTGCTTCAGTGGCAAACACGCTTTCCTCTACCTGCCGATCTCGCTGTGCCTGCTCGTCACGTTGATACCCCTCGGGCTCCGCCACGCGGCTGCCAAGGGGGACCAGTCGCCGGAGCTCTACTATCTGCCGAGGTTCGAGGTGGTCGACTGTTTTGCGCGCATCGCCGTCTCGGCGTTGTACGCGCTGCTGGCCCAGCCGCGCCCACGGGCCTTCCTCGTCCTCACGATAGCGGTCATCGTTTCGCTGCTGGCCGCATGCTACTACCTCCAGCCCTGCCTCGGCAAGGCGCGGAACTACGAGTTCAACCACGCGCGCACGGCATGCTACGCTGGCGTGTGCTGGGCCGCACTCGTCGCCTTGCTCCAAGAAGGCAACCGGCCCGGCGTCTTTGAGGCGGGGCTGCTTGCGCTGTGCGTTGGGCTGCCCGCCGTCATGTGCGTGGGGTGGCGGCTGAGCCAGCGCCGAGGGGCGAGGATGCCAGCCTCGCACTGGGCCACCAGCGCCAGCCGCGGCGGCAGCGCAGTGGGCCCCCCGCAGCGGAGCGGCCAGCGCGGGAGCCACGGGGGCGTGAGAGTGAGCGCCGGGCTTAGCGGCAAGACTGAGAGCCCTGCCGTGCGAAGGAGCGTGGTGCTGGATGTGCTCTCGAGATGGAGCGCGGGGGGCGGGCGGAGGCGGACAAAGTCAAGCGGGACTGCCGGGCAGGGCCCGTGGGCGAGACTGCGCTAGCGGTATGTGACTCATGTGTACCACGTTGACAACACGACAAACTCACTCGCGCTCTCAGGAGCGAGAATTCCAGAGAGAGAGAGAGAGAGAGAGAGAGAGAGAGAGAGAGAGAGAGAGAGAGAGAGAGAGAGAGAGAGAGAGAGAGAGAGAGAGAGAGAGAGAGAGAGAGAGAGAGAGAGAGAGAGAGAGAGAGAGAGAGAGAGAGAGAGAGAGAGAGAGAGAGAGAGAGAGAGAGAGAGAGAGAGAGAGAGAGAGAGACCATTATGACACTAGGAGATGGGTATACGACTCTTCTACAAAGGAGCAGTCCCAACACATGTTAGGCAACGCAAGCCTTTCAATTAAGCCCCGCTTGAACGCGTCGGGCGAGCTCGTGATCCTCGCGGCTCGAGCGAACAGCTCCCACCGCCTGCTGGCCTAGGGTCGAAGCTGGTCGAGTCGATTGCGTCGTCAGGCACGCGTTACCATCCCAAGCGGGCCATTGACTGATGTCGGCAGCAAACCACCCGCAGCGTGGGCATGCGTTGCCATTGTACGCGTCGCGCCGATTTATAGCGACGAGAGACAGCGTCTGAAGGCTATTTTTGCCCGCGACACCGATATGCGGTTGACGTTGAGGGCCCGCGGTTGTGGCTAGTGGAGGATGCTGTACAATCCGAGGGCGTTCCCATGGCCTCACGCGTCACGGGCCCGGGGCGAGATTTTTAACTGTGTAGCTCGATTTTGACCCAGAACTACAACACAGAACGGCCCCAAATCGGCCCGGAACCGACCCGTGGGCCCGTCTGCCGCACCCAGCTCCGCCGGGAGGGGCGCGCGCCGTCCCCGCGGCTCGGGCGGGCCACGCAAACGCGGCGGGAGAGCTTCCAGTGCCCTGTGAGTGCCGTCACACCTCACACCGCCTCAAATAGGTCCCAAAGTGGGGTTTGCCTCAAGTGTGAACGTCGCCGACGCTATCCGGCGCTCCTTCCGCCCTCCCCGCGCGCCTCGATGGCTCGCCACGCCTCCTCGACGAGCGCGAAGCACTCTCCGGCGCGCGGGTGGCCGCACCGATCTGGGTGGAGCCGCCGCACCAGCTGCAAGTACCGCTTCCGGCTCGCCTCGCGGCCCGTCAACCGCTGCAGCCCAAGGCAGCCCCAAGGGTCCTGCACAGCGCTGGGGGCTCCAGCGAGCACCGCCGCCACGAGAGCGTCCACCGCGCAATCGACGTCGACGATGCCGCCGCTCGACCCTGCGTCGCCGCTGCTGGACCCACCGCAGCCGCCGCCGCCGCCGCAACCGCTCCCGCCGCCGCTCCCGCCGCCGCTCCCTCCCCCTCCGCCGCTCCCACCGCCCCCGCCCGCCTGGCGCTGGCGCTGGCGGCTGGCCGCCTAGGTAAGGTGAGGTAAGGTAAACTTCTCCACACACAAGGGTGGTGGGGCAAGGGGGGGCGGCCCTCGCGACTCCACGTCTAGAAGACGGGAGCCTCGTGGCATGCCCAGTGCGCGTGGGTGAGCGATGCGTGTGTGTGTGTGTGCGTGTGCGTGCGCGTGCGTGTGCGCGTGCGCGTGCGTGTGTGTGTGTGTGCCTGT